TGCTGAGGCGGAGCGAGAGAGCAAGTGAGGGCTTAGTCACTTACTGATAGTGGTCTCTCTGTGCTTTGTTTATTGTATCTAGACGCGCACATAACCTCGAACAGAAACGCATGAAGCATGAGTCGCTGCTAACGAAGGCTGAGCAGTTGTCTGCAGTCCGACAACAGGCTCGCATACAAGCCGAGCAGAGACGTCGCAGAAAGGCGCAGATGGAGGCAGAGGTGAACCGCTGGGGCTTTATCGATAGTCAATAGGGCAGAGGGCTTCGTGTAAGAGTGGTGATAGGAGATGCAGAGGACGGTCTCTTAGGAAGCTACATTATTGCAAGAATTGCACGAAAAAGCTGTGGTGGACGTGGCGGAGAAAATCGCTGAGAAGAAGCGGCAACGGTTGGCAGAAGAGCGCAAGTTGCAGGAGGTACGCCCCATCGAGTCGGACGATGTTTTCTTCTCTTCATTATTGAGTTAACGTCATCGGTGGGCCGCTCAGGAACTGAGGAAGATCACCGAGAAGAGAGCAGCTCTGGCGGAGTCAGCAGAGTTGCTCGCCAGAAAGCATCATGAGGAGCTTCATAAGGGCCGCAAGAGGTAAGGGAGAGTTTTTTACACTTCATTATGCTCGCTACCTCATACGTGTCGTGCGGGGTGCATGAATTTTGAGCCGCTCCTGCACTGAGGTGACTTAATCGTTGGGGTTGAAGCGTTGTGTCAGGGAAGCCTCTCACCGTCAGAAAACCGTCCTGAATGAGAAGTCGAGAGAGATGAAGGTGAGGCGTCTGGAATCCACCTTTCCTGGTTCTGATTTATTGGAGGGATTTTTATGAGATGCTTCATGATACTCTCGTGTCCTGTTGTTCTTGTCATCACTTTTCTTGTGTGGTTCAGGTTTCAGCTCAGAGCAAAGCGATAAGAGAGACTAATGCAGCCAAGGTCCAGGCGGAAATGGAGGAGCTCAAGAAGAGGTATCGGTGGGAGGATGAGTTCATCACGCGCCGCTACCTGTTGGTGGTAGCGAATGCTAGCAGGATGATCAACCCTTCTCAATGAGAAGCCCCTATGAACGCTCTTTTGAAGGTATGACGTAGCAATGGAGCAAGCTAGGGCGGAAGACGATTATCGACGCGGGGTGACGCGCAGAGCAATGAGAGAGGCGCACGCGATGCAGCGCTCGCAAGACGAAGCTCTGAGTAAAGTGAAGAGAGAAGCTATGCCCTATACAGCCAAAGTGAATAGCATGAGCATCAGCAATGCTCGAGAATCAGCACTTCGAACTAAAAGACATGTCTCATGATGTGCGTGCGTTCGAGCCAACTTGTTGGAGTTGCTGTACAGTATATTCTAGATAATATTTATCACAAAAATACAAATTCGCCATGTCATGCGGAAACCCCGTCCTCGCATTGGAGACGCTCTCCTACGATTATAACTATATCCTCCAGTGGGGAGTCTTCACGATGTGCATTACCACACAAGCATGGAATATCGTCAGCCGCCCATGAATATATCTAGATTTGTCAAATGTAGCGGGTGTAGGTAGGACCTCAAAAGATGAGAAGAAACTTGTGTATGCCAGAAAACACACGCCTCTTCCAGAATCCTGGTCACACCTGGTTAGACCTGACCTCCAGAATCGCGCGACCTCCAGCGTGTAAGCCTGGCGTCATGAATACTGAACTATGTCGGCGATAGCGCTATAGAATCC